TGTCTTTTTGTATGCTAATGAGTTGACTGATGGCTGGCAGCCCCTAGGAAGCATGGAAAGACCAAGATAAGATTAGCAGGTTTAGACTTTCAGCTCCGCCCCCCAACCTCCAGGGAGGGGAGAGTTGTTGAAGGTTAAGTTGATCACTAATGGCTGGTGATTTAGTCAATTATAACTATTTAATAAAGCCTCCATAAAAACCCCAAAGCACAGGGCTCACAGAGCTTCTGGATAGCTGAACACGTAGAGTTTTCTGGAGAGTGGCATGCCAGAGAGGGGTGGAAGCTCTCTGCCCCTTCCCCATACCTTGCCCTATGCATTTCTTCATCTGTATCCTTTGTCATGTCCTTTGTAATAAGCTGGTAAATGTAAGTAAGTGTTTCCATGAGTTCTGTGAGCTGCTCTAGCAAATTAATTGATCCCAGAGAGACAGCTGTGGGAACCCCAATCTATAGCTGGTTGGTCAGAAGCACAGGTAAAACAACCTGAGGCCTGTATCTGGCATCTGAAGTGGGGGACAGTCTTGAGGACTGAGCCTTCAACCTGTGTGATCTGATGCTATCTCCATAGTCTTTCATGTTGATTGTTATATTGTGAGAGCAGAGGAAAAACAGTTTTTGGTTTTTTTCTACAGTGTCCCACAGGCTTGGGCTTGAGTCCTTGACATCCCTATTCCTTTGCTAAGTGTGTGACTTTTGGTCAGTCATTTAACCTCTCAGAAACACAAATTCCTTATCTTCAAATGGAGTTAATAACATCATCCTGCAGGGTTAGTATGATAACCAGATATAATATATGTGGAGACTACACAGATACTCAATATTCCTTTGCCATTTTTACATGTGTGAGTCTACTTGTGGTAGTATCTTTTTGACTTCTTCCTGGGTGGCCAGTGTGAATTAGGTGTTGCATTTCCTGGAGGCTGAAACCTGGTTTTATCTCTTATAGTCCATCCTTTACAACTTTGTGATGGTAACATTGTTATCATCCCAGAGGGAACGAGGAAAACCAGTGATCTTCTTGCATAAGTTTGCTTTTGGTTTAACTAGGTATTTAGTACTTGAGTTCTTTTATTGAGGTTTAATTATGCACAAGGGGGCTTTGGGAGGTTAGTAGTCTTGCTGTTTTCATGGAAAACGCAGAATTCTTTGTAGCGTCTAGGTAAGTAGGACTAATGTTTCATCCAGCCCAGCGCAGGATGGCCATGGCAACATCTAGATGAATGGTCTCCTTGTTCTATAAAATGCGGCTCAGTCTGCATTCTCTGTGTTCAGACCCTTGATTCTCTCTTCACCCCTCTCTCACTGGGTCTTTGGGACAGACGTTATTGCAGAATAAATCAGAAGGCTGCAAAGATGACTTTTTGATTTATTCCACCCTTTTCTGCCCATCCCTCCAAATCTTCCAGTTCCACGAAAAGGGAGCAGTGCCTGGACTATGGAGCTCTTCTGAAGAACCCAAATCCTCACTCTCTTTGACATAGATGTGGTGAGCTTAGCATTTTTAAAATAAAAGAGTTTTCTGATACAAGGATCTGTCTCTGTACCTAGTCTTTGGGTGGTGGTGGTTTATGAAATTTAGGAACAGAGATGTGACCTCTAATTATATTTGCTTGCTTCTCTTTCAGCCTCCTGGGTCTCACCACTTGGAAGTAAGTGAATCAGTATTAGTGAAACTAACAGTTTGATGAGTTTACTTTTTTTCTTTTAGGAAACATAAAAACTGTGGCTCAAAGCCATTGTGGTTATTGGGTCAGAGAGTTTGCACCAAAGGGAATGTGAGTGCCTACCTCATAATGTTGCTGTGAGGATTAAAGGAATCAGTATATGTAAAGTGCTCAGAATAGTGCCTGGCACGGGGGGTGCTGTGTGATATTATCCCAGTCACTCCTGGGCAGGGTCTGCCATGGGCCCCAGAGCAGCTTCCTACCACAAGTACTATCATTTCTACTTCAAAATGCATCCAGAAGTCAGTCACAAAAGACCACTTATTATGTGATTCCATTATATGAAATGTCCAGAATAGGCAAATCTATAGAAACAAAAAGTAGATTCATGGTTGTCTAGGGCTGGGAGAAGTAGGGAGGTTGGAAAGTGATAGCTAAAGGGTATGGGATTTCTTTTTGGAGTGATGAAGAAGTTTCTAAAATTGATTGTGGTAATGGCTGCACAACTCTGTGCATGTACAGGTGGTCCTCAACTTACGGTGGTTCAACTTGGGATTTTTCAACTTTAAGATGGTGTGAAAGTGATAGGCATTCAGTGGAAACTGTATTTCAAGTGCCCGTACAGCCATTCTACTTTTTACTTTCAGTACAATATTCAATAAATTACATGAGATATTCAACACTTTGTTATAAAATAGGCTTTCTGTTATAAAATAGATGATTTTGCCCACCTGTATGCTAGTGTAAGTGTTCTGAGAACTTTTAGGTAGGTTGGGCTAAGCTATGATGTTTGATGAGTTAGGTGTGTTAAATGCATTTTTGACTCATGATGTTTTCAACTTATGATGGGTTTATTGGGACATAACCCCGTCATAAGTCAAGGAGCAACCATAGTAAAAACCATTGAATTATGCATTTTAAATTGGTGAATTGTGTGGTATGTGAATTATATTTTAATACAGCTGTTAAAAATATATACAGAATTCTACCACTACTCAATATCTCTATCATGCTTGTACAGGCAACTGGCATCTGTCTCCTACACCACTAAAATTGTTTCCTAACTGGCCTTCCCAATTTCATAATTGCCTCACCTCACCACTGTCTGTTCTTCCTGGAGCACTGAAGTGATCTTTTAATGTAAAGCAGAAAATGTCACTCACTTGCCTAAACTGCTCTACCACCTTCCCCGTCACTCTCAACAATCAAAGTTAAACATTCTACTATGGCCTCAAGGTCCTACATCATCTAGTCCCAGTGACTTCTTCCTCAGCTCTCCCCTTTGCCACATTGCTTTAGCCGCATCGGCCTTCCTGTTCTTCAAATACAGTAGTCCTCCCTTCTCCACAGTTTCACTTTTCATGGTTTCAGTTACCTGTGGTCAACTGTGGTCCAAAAATGTTAAATGGAAAATTCCAGAAGTAAACAATTCATGTTTTAAATTGTGTGCTGTTCTTAGTAGTGCGTTGAAATCTTACATCATCTTACTCCATCCCGCCTGGGACGTGAACCATCCCTTTGTCCAGTGAGTCCACACTGTATATGCTACACACCTGTTGGTCACTTAGTAGCCCTCTCGGTCATCAAATTGACCATGTTGGTTTTTGTGTCAAGTAACCCTTATTTTACTTAATAGTAGCCCCAAAGCACAAGAGTAGTGATGCTGGCATATTATTACAATTGTTCTATTTTATTATTAGCTATTGTTGTTAATCTCTTCCTTTGACTAGTTTATAAATTAAACTTTATCATAGGGGAAACATAATATATATAGGGTATGGTCGTATTGCAGTTTCAGGCATCCACTGGGGGTCTTGGAACATATCCTGTTGGGAAAATAGAATAGTTTGGTCAGGGCCCTTGCCTCGGGTCCAGTTGGGTGTGGTTTTAGCACATCCATTGTAAGTAAGTTGTGTGTGCGTGCGTGTGTGTGTGTGTGTCTGTGTGTGTAGAGTTAGTGCACATGTGCACCAATGTATCTTTTTAGTTTTATTGCTATTCTTGTGTTCTTTGGAGAGAGAGAGAGAGAGAGAGAGAGAGATGGGGGGTAATTAAGCAGGCAGGCAGGTCTCTGCCTTGGGCATCCACCCTGTGAGGCCATGCTTTCTAACCTATGGCTCCAAGGACCTTTTGGCCAGTTACCTAGCTCATAGACCTGCGTGTGAGGGGTTTGGTGACCCAGCGTGGTATGTGAGGGGTCTGGTGACCCAGCGTGGTATGTGAGGGGTCTGGGGACCCAGCCTGGCATGTGAAGGGTTTGTGACCCAGTCTGTGAATGGGCTTGAGGGGTCTGTGAACTCCAGACCCAGCCCTAGCTAAACAAGTGGCCCAGTCAGCAGGATTACTGGCAGGTAAAAGAGCCTGACAACTGGCGTGGTCATGGAGTTAGACAATTGGTGTCATGAACAGGATTAAGGTTGCCACAATTGGTGCAGCAATCAGGGTTCCAGACATTAGAAGTAGCCACATATCCCCACAGATAAGAGGGGACTGCTGTGTGTCAACCTCATTCCTGCCTGCCTCAGCACCTTTCTATGTGCTGTTCACTCTGCTGAGAATTTGACCCCCACATCTTCTCATGGCTCATTCCTTCATATCATCTAGGACTCAACTCAGATATCACCACATCAGAGAGGCTTTTCTTGCCCAGCCCTACTTAAAATTGTCCCTTCAATCTTCAACCATTCACTCATTTTATTTTCTTCACAGCATTTGTCACTACCAGGGTACTTCAAGAAGCTGGTGGAAAATAGAATTAAAAGATCATACAAATCTTTCCATGAACTTTTTGAAGACCCCTCATATTTGAGTTTATATTTTAATTCACCTATTTTCTTGCTTTTGGACATCTCCCCAAGTAGCACGTAAATTCTATGAGAACATGAATTTTTTCTCGTTTACCACTCCATTCCTAGCACCTATAACAGTGCCCTGCGCTCAGTGTTTGTTGAATGAATGAAGCCACCATATTCACTGTGGATACAAAGACACAAATGCACACATGCTCATTGTCTTTCTATGTATACCTCCTATTCCATATCTTCACTTGGAATATCTCACATATTTTAAAGCTTGGGATAAAATTCTTAGAAGGAAGTTCTTTGGGAGCCCCTTTCCAATAACATTCAGCATATTCTACTTAGAAAGCTACTTGATGCTTAGACTGATACACACTATCACTGTTTGCATGAAAGTCCATGAAAACATGTAAGGAATTTCAGAGCCTATGCTTAGTCAACTGTTTTTGCTCTGAAGGTCAGCAATGGCTATTTTGGTGGCATAAAGCTGGGGTCTAGATTTGATAGTATGTTTTTTTATTCTCATGTTTACTTACAGTGCGGACTTTCTCGGGCCCCTGTCCTCAGAAGAATCCTAGCCATGGGCACGTTGTTGGTCATGATGGCAATATCCAGGGGTGTCAACCCCTCACTGTTAGGCGTGTTGAGGTCTAGTTCTTCTGGTGTGTACTGGTACAGGAGGATCTGCACAGCATCCATGTCCTGCTGTTCGACTGCCTCAAACATGGCTTCGTTGCCCTGGAAGTTCTGGAAGAGAAGAGCAATAGCAAATTAGTACAATTTTATAGAACAGTGTGTCTTAGCAGCTTAGCTATTTTGAATTTTAGCAACTGCTTCATAGACTGCATGCCCACTTATAAGTGATATAATTACAATTTATCTTAAGGTCTCCAAAGAAAACACTGTGTTGGACCTTCTTCCCTCCATCACTTTTAACGGGCATTGAATTGATAGTACATTTAGATGAACTGAGAAGATACAGTATAGCCTTGCTGGTCTTCAGATAAAAACAAAAATCAGGTTTTCTCAAACCAGTCTTCTGTGGAATACTGCTTGATAGGTTATTATAACTTGTTCTATGAAGAAAGTTGCATGTGGTCAAATAAATTTGGTCAACATTGGATTAAACCAAGTATTATTTTCCTGGAGGACCTCTCAGGACCTTTAATAATTTTAATGTGCATTTTATTGCATTTGCCTTCACTACCCCTCGGATAGTTTTCTACAAGACACAGTTAAGAGATACTAGCATAGATAATGATAGCACAGGTAGTTTTAATTATGACTAGCGTGGAATTGAGAGAACACTTCTCTGTTTCTCTCAAACTCATCCCCTCTCTCTCCATCCCCAGGTCTCTATGTTATCATCCCTTATCTTAATGATAGCACAGGTAGTTTTAATTATGACTAGCGTGGAATTGAGAGAACACTTCTCTGTTTTTCTCTCAAACTCATCCCCTCTCTCTCCATCCCCAGGTCTCTATGTTATCATCCCTTATCTGGATCTGCTAGTCTTAGTCTCCTCCAGCCCATGCTTTAAACTGACACAAGAGTAATCTTCCTAAAATATACATGTGGCATATCACTTTCCCATTTACAAAGCTCTGATAGCTCCACACTGCCTGTAGGCTGCTGTCCACATATCTAGACTTCTTTGTGTTCTAACCCCATACTTTCTCAGTCCAGAGCCCCAACCATTGAACACCTGTCATTTCTGAGCCCTGAGGTGAAGGGCTGCAGTGGTGGTGTCCAGGGATGGTTTCAGTGGTTGAATGTCAAGTTGTTATTGGGCCTGAGAGAGCCAGAAGTTGAATATTTATATGGTAGAATTCAAATCATCTGTAGTAAAAAGTAACTAAAGACATGATGGTTCCTTTGAAAAGTTCTTTCAAAGGGTTGCTGGTAAATGAAGAAGAAGGGCTCTGGAATTCTCTCAAATACATATTACTATAGCCCAATATATGTGCTATTTAAACATTTATTTGGTATCTTCTCCAAGAGCTGTTTGGTAAAAATGTTGAAATATCATTGTTCCTGACTCACTAAATAGGGGTCACCTGATTAACATGTGGAAGATTTAACCAAATGTTAAGTAGGCAGGTTTTATTTTTAGTCTCATCAAAAATCCATTCTCCCCATCAAAGGCTACAGGTTGAGTTTAGCTGAGTACGTAACACAAAATCGGAATTTTAGGAAAATACAAAGCTACTGTGCAAATGCTTGTTTTGACAATGGGGACCTGGGGAATAGAGCTATTTTGGTATGCAGTTCTCTTTGCTGCAAGACAGTCCACTGAGTGGAAGTGTTTTGTCCACAATCTGCTGCTAAACTGAAGAACTTCTGATGCTTAGACCACAACTTAACCACAACTAAGCCCTCCCAGAAGATAAGTTTTAAATGAGAAAATGTATTAGAAAACAAGTAAGTTCAAAGTTAAAATGCTGTCTTGTCTACAGTTGTGTATTTGTTTTTGATTCTCAGTATTTCTAATTTCTCATGTGCCATATTTACTCTCACTCTTCAGTCATTTCCTCCTCTATGCTTTTGTTGGCAAACCCTGGCATGTTTCCATCTGGAAATGCTAGGACTTTCTGTTTTAGGCTCAAACAAATGGTGCCATTACCTCCTGCAAAATTACCCTTGCTGAGCATGTTATTATCATGATCTCAGCTTTTACTGAGGGCCAATATAGGAAACCACTATATTAGACTGTCTGTAACATCATCAGTTCTACTCTGTATGCCATTCTCTGTTACATAATTCACTACTACATCTATAAAGGCCAGAAGACTTAGCAACAGCAAATGACAGCCAGTGGGATGCTATAACCAATTGTGTTTCCTTTTCTGCTTTGACTGCCTGGGAGCTCAAAGATAAACATAATGATAAATTTCAGGTACTATATCTGCCCAGGTTTTGGGTACATCTATTTTTATTCTCACCCCTAATATTTTCTTTTTCTAGTTCTTTTCTTCTTTTTTTCTTTTCTTTTTTTTTTCCTCCTTCCCTTCCCACCCTGGCTTTGTCTCTCTCTCTCTGTCTCTTTCTTATTCGTATGTGTTCTTTGCCTGAATTCTGTTTTGAATGCTTTTCAAAAGCATGTGGAGTATACATTAGAAATAAGTAAATAATATTAATATTATTATTTGAATAGACACTGGAGCACTCAGAAAGCCTATTTAATCTGAGACTCCATATTTGTCAAACTGCTATTTTTGGGGATTGGTTTCCTTGGCCTAGTAGTGAAAAAAAAAATTAATGGGAAAAAGAAAAGGAAAGAAGTTAAGGAGAAAGAGAAAACCTCACAATCACTCAAACTGTGTTTAACACAGATATGTGCAGTTCCTGCTTTACCTGACTCTAACTCAGCAATCACAAAATTGCAAACATCAGCTTCTGAAGTACTAGTAAACATGGATCATCTTAGAATCTCCTTAAATCCAAACATAACAGAGCAAATCAAACTGACACAAGAATAAAGAGTCTGGTTACCACCGAGGTCTTTCTGAGACTCAGCCGATCAGTCCTTGTTCTAAAATAGGCCTCATCGAATGAAGAGTGGCTCCCCTTCAGTTTCTCAGACAGGTTCCTATACAGACGCTTGGCAGCATTGGGAGATGATGGGGCACTATGTTTTTTTGACTGAGAAAGATGTAAATTCTGCATTTGTTGGGTCATTTTCACACGGCAATTCCTAAGAAGAGAGAAATCTGATGTTTTATCTTTTACACAACAAAAGTATAAATTGACAGAGAATGTTATCATCTCTGGTATCCACTTGGAGTTCTTTTTTTTTATTTTCCTTTTTTTCCTTTTTTTGTCTTTTTTACTGACCGGTAACGGGATCGCAACCCTTGGTGGGTCATTTTCACACGGCAATTCCTAAGAAGAGAGAAATCTGATGTTTTATCTTTTACACAACAAAATTATAAATTGACAGAGAAAGTTATCATCTCTGGTATCCACTTGGAGTTCTTTTTTTTTATTTTCCTTTTTTTCCTTTTTTTGTCTTTTTTACTGACCGGTAACGGGCTCGCAACCCTTGGTGTTGCACCCACACCGCGCTCAGCCAGTGAGCGGGAACCGGTCTCCACATGGGATCCAAACCCTCAGCGGGAGCGGTGCACTCTCCAGTGCGCCACTGGGCCAGCCCCACTTGGAGTTCTAATCCAATATGATAGCTGGAAGAGATCTTTGAGATCATCAGAACCAGGTTCTTTATGTTGTAGATGAAAAAGCTGAAACCCAGGGAAAGGGAGTAGCTTGTTTATGGCCACAGAGCTAACTTGTGGCAGGAATGAAATGACAACCTCCATTTACTATATGAACATATTCATTTACATGCAAATATATACAAGGATACTTCAACACATTTATGGAAAGATTTGTATGATCTTTTAATTCTATTTTCTCCATGAACTTTTTAAAGTACACTCATATATGATATAAATCTCTACTGAAAGTCTTTTGGTCTCTATCCCAACTGAAGAAGTGTCTCAATTCTGTAACCTAGTGGTTCTGTTGAGCTCCTCTTGGGTATATGTAATTGGGATTTTCTACTTACCACTTTCTAGATGCTGGCCTCTGTTGGATATATTAGAAAGTGTGGTTGTTCCCTGCATACTCCTTCTCTCAAGGTGTAATTATGTTTCAGTCTTGGAGTTTCCTAAATAGTTCAAGGTTTTTCCTACCTCTAGATCTTTGCATGTGTTGCTTTGCATGTACTGGAATTCTATCTCTTCCTTCATCACCTTGGAAATGATTATTGATCCTTGAAGTCTATGCTCAAGTAGGTCTCTAGCATCCCCAGGAAAATTTATATATTTCTCTACTAATTCACTTAGTATATGCCTTTATGGCAAACATGGTATTATAATTGTGTGTTTGGAGCTCTGCCTCCCAGCTAGTCTATATGCCCCTCAAGAGCAAGGACTGCCAAGTCTTAATTTTTATATCCCCATCACCTAAAATGTGCCTGCCTCAGGGTAAAAGAAATATAACACAGATTAGGATATCAATTCCTACTCTTCCACCTACTGACTATGTGATCTTCAGCAAGTTACTTAACATGTCTGAGTTTCATTTCTCTTCTTTATGAAACAGGATAATGATAGCATGTACATATCAGGATTGTGGGAATTTGTTGCAATAGTGCATGTAAAGAGCCTAGTATACAGGCAAACTAATGGTAGCTAAAGTTTTTGTATACAAGGCACTAAACATATACTTTAAAATAAATGAATGCACATATGAGAGTCTATTACATATAATACACTGGAGGGCTACCCAGAAAATTCATTTCTGCCTCATGCCTCTGAACTGGGTTCCATGTCCACTAGCACCAACTAACCTTGATTTACTTTCACTTTAAATGGAGATACATCTTCACTACCTTGTAAAATGTCCTTAGGCAGCTTTTTTTTTGTCTTTTTCTTGACCAGTAAGGGGATCGCAACCCTTGGTGTGGTGTCGCCCGCACCGCGCTCAGCCAGTAAGCGCACTGGCCATTCCTATATAGGATCCGAACCCGCTGCGGGAGTGACACTGCGCTCCCAGCGCTGCACCCTCCCGAGTGCGCCACGGGGCCGGTTCCTTAGGCAGCTTTTAAACCCTGCTTGCAACTTCCTCCAAGACAAAAAGACTTAGTTCCTTTCAAGGTGGTCAGACCTAATCAGTCTTAATCATGTCCATTAGGTCCTACCCAGTCTTAGCTAAATGGACATATTTGCATTAGGGAGGATGACACAAAGCATTGTCTTTAGTGTGTCTATATGTGTGTTTTTATAAATCTTTAGTAATTTTTAATTTTCACAAAAGCAGAAGTGGAAAGGATAAGTGATTTGGCATCATTTCCTCCCATGTACAAATCTTTTGTCTTTGATTCAATGTCAGCTACAGGGTTTCCTTTAATTTATTTCTTTTCATACCACAAAAAATTCCAGATTCATATGCAGGCTGGCTCACATGGGGATTACCTTAACCTCTTTCTTTCTGCCGTCTGTCTCTGGCCTTTTCCTTCAGCATTAATGCCCCAGTTAAAGCCATCTGTCTTGTCTACATCATTATCGTTCCCAAAATAACTCTACATTCTTTTGTATCTCCCACAATACCCTGGAGTCCAGTAAATAAATTCTTGTCGATTGATCAAATTCCAGCTACTTGCCCTCTCACTGATGACACCTACCCACATGGTCCCTTTTGTCTTTGCTCATCTCCCATCTGTTCCCTTCAGTCAAAATAGGTTGGCTTTCTCTGTCTCTTTGACTTCCTTCTCATACTCCCCCAGCTGTCCCTTCCTTCCAGGCTAGTCTTTAGCATGTTTCCACTCTTTTAGCTTTCATCTATCATAGTTTTTTTTTTCCTTCTCTATATTTAAAATTTTGTCAGAGATAGTGAGAAGGACAACTTTCTGTTATCTGTTCTTATAAATATGCATGCCCCTCCTAACTAATGTGCTCTTAAATTTTTACCCTTATGGAAAGGGGTAAGCATTTGCGAATCAGTGCGGCTTTGGCTCTGGAATTTGCAGACCCAAGCTTTAATCCTGATATTGTTACTTTGTGACTTTGAGCACCTCATTTAAATTCTCTGAGTTTATTTAATCATATATAAAAAGACAATAATAGGGCACTTCTTAATTGAGTTGTAGAGATTTAATTAATCAACAAATGAAAGGTACCTATCCTATTTGCTGTTTGTAGTAGCCATTCAATAAATAGCAACAATTATTAAGGTTACCCCAAGTCTTCTTCCCAAACTAGAGATATCAAAGTATATTGTAATAATTTAAATAGCTTTTTTTTTCTTGCCTATTTTTAACATTGTCTTGAAATCTTATTTTATGTACTTATTATACTATTTAGTTTTTGTTTTGGTAGAAAAATGTAAGTTTAGATATCTTAGTATGTACATTTACAGTAACTTTTAGCAAAACAGAAATAGGAAGTAGAACTTCAAACTATTAGAGGGAAGAGTGAAATAAAGAGAAGTCTAAAAATAATTTAAGAAAAAGAGAAAAAAGCATAATGAACAGAAAATGTAAAATGAAGTAATAGGGCTAAGATTGAACATGTCTGTGAACACAAAAGTTTACTTTTCCTAATAAAAGAAAAAAATTCTCCAGTTAGAATTTCTAGAAAGCCATTTATAAGTAGGATACCTTAATAAACATTTCACATAAAGATTAAAAATAAAAGAATAGGATGTCAGTGGGAATGGCAGAGAAAAAAACTCCAAAAATCCTCTCCTCCATAAAAACAATGAAAACACTAGCAAAAATGGTCAGATTTAACTTTTTCAGAATACTGGAAATTAACCAAAGGCTTGCAATAATCCAGAAAAGGGTTGTTCAAGATAAATGGCTGCATTCAGTAAGAACAGCAAGTTTTGTGGCATTTTAATTTGCCCTGTTCCCATCTTCCCCAGCTCTGTAGTAGCCTCAAAACCCAACAGTCTACATTCAGGGTAAAAACAGTATTCTCTTAGCCACTGGAGAGAACAGAATAGGGCTGGAGCTTCTGCAAAACCCCATTTCCATAGAAATGTCAATATTTGGCCTATCTGGTGGTTCCCTGGAAGACCCCACTTACAAGGCTTGTTGTTATTTGATCTGACTCAGAGTTCACCAAGGGCAAATAGCCTTTTCCTCTGAGGTATTTGTCAAAAACAAATGTCAGCAATCATTTAACAATTGCTTAAAACCTGGGGAATGAGATGTCTATAGAAGGCTTTGAAAAGCTCTGACATATTCCTGAGAATCTAACAGACCACATACATGCCAAGGACTGGGAGCATACTCAGAGAGGATCTGAGAAGATCTTCAGCTCTCATCTCTTAACTTTGAGGCTCTGTGCATGCAGGAAGTGAAGACTAAGTCAGAGCTGTTAACTGCCTGGCTCAGTGTTAAAGTCATGCCCCAACACACACACACACAGTCCCTCTGTAAAGACTGGGAGACTTATTGGTTCCAGGCATTTAAGGAAATCTCTGTCTGATCATGAGTTAAACACTAAGCTAACAAAGCAAAGACTTCAGTGCTTATATATGACAAAAAATATAGACCTTACAGATTTAGTTCTGGAAAAAATCACTAAACAACAACAAACACTGGAGTGGGAGGATAATCTCACTTCCAGAATTGCCACCTTATATTACTAAAATGCTTAGTTTTCAACAAAAAGTTATGAGACATGCAAAGAAACAAAAACCTATGTTCCATACCTAGACTTATTGATATTCAACTGTATGCCACAAATATGTATAATCAATCATGTTTCAGTAAAAAAAAAAAGAAATGCAAAACTAATTTTCTGAAGACTGTAAAACATTGTTGAAAGAAATTAAACTTATTGATATTCAACTGTATGCCACAAATATGTATAATCAATCATGTTTCAGTAAAAAAAAAAGAAATGCAAAACTAATTTTCTGAAGACTGTAAAACATTGTTGAAAGAAATTAAAGAAAATACAAATAAATGGAAAGACATTCCCTGTTCATGGATCAGAAGACAATATTGCCCAGCCAATGAGAGGCACCAACTGGAAATTAGGGAGTGAGGTGGTGGTATTTACCCCTTGACTTCTGTCAGGTATCCCTTTCCATATAGCTATTTTCTCTGACTTACAGAAAACGCCCTCTTCTTTTGTTCCTTCAGGCTTCCCTATTCATTACTGGTTTTCCTTAACCTTCCCA